CCCCCCCCCCTCCCCCACCTTTAACGTTCAAACGTTTATATACAATATACATTTACATTTTTTTAGAAACCTTTTTTTTTGGTTTGAAAAGAGTGAACTGAAACTAGACTGTATAATCGATTATTTTTACTTTTGCTAAATCTAATTCTCTCTGGTTTTCAGATAAAATGTGTTAATGTCAGTTCTAGTGTCCTCCCTAGGTAACTTCATAACTCCATTGTATCCCCTCATTCGTGACAAGATGTGGTTTACCAGAGGTCAAATTTTTTCTTCATAATATTTCTTAATGAAAACATTAAATAAACAAGATTGCTTAAATGTCGTCGTTCTATTCCACAGTTTTACGGGTCCTATTGTAAGATTGAATTTTGGCCGTGGAGACTTGTGAACTTGCGCACTAGGGCCCTTCATAAAAAACTTGATCCGTATTTTCTCCCGTTTTAATATGACCCGTGTCTTTATGGCAAAAAAATTACAGATATATATCAGCTTTATGTAAAAGTTTTAAAATTGTAAAAAAATTGTAGTATCTATCATAACTGATAATATCATAAAGAATATAAGTTTACAAAATCCTTTTCAAAGTAGCCTGAATTTGAAAAAAGTGGTTTGAATCTTACTCGATACTTTTTTCATGATTTTATAGATCCTAATAATATTCATGATTTTTTCAACAGATATTTCATTCACCAAAATGGCTTATTACATTGGAAAATAAAGAAGAACAATTATATACAGTTAAAAATGTCGGGGAGGGGTTTTGACCTCTAAAATAGTTTTTTTTTTCAAATAAACAGGGTTGTATAATCAAAGACCCAAGAGGAAGGGAAGGAAAAAGAGAAGGTGAAGGAAAAGGAAAAAGAAAAAAGGGTAAAAAGGAAGGGGAAAATGAAAGGGAAGGATTGGGAAGGGGGAAAGTTAGTGAGGGAGAAATGGATAGGTAGGGAAGGAGATAGGTAAGGAAGAGGAAGGTTGGAAGGGAAAAAGGGAAGATTGAGAGGGCAAGGGAAAGATTGAGGGGGAAAAATATTATTTTTAACTCTGGGTAGATTAGTAATACCGATTCAACTGCAATTGAGGAAATTAAGATTTAAAAAATAAAAAATCCAAATAAGTTGTTTTATTTTCAGGACAGCAAGTTTAATTCTGGTTTACAATGACGCTTCCTTGTGATGAATGTGCAAGTGTATTTCCTAATAAAATTAAACTCAAAGAACATGTGAAGAGTAAACACGAGGGTGTCAAATATAAATGTGAACAATGTGATCGTGTTTACTCTGATAAAAAGAGTCGCTACAGACATGTTAAGAGAAAGCACGGAGGGTTGAAATATCCGTGTGATCATTGTGAAAGCGTTTTCTCTGATAAACAAAATCGTACCAGGCATGTGAAGAGTATACACGAGGGAGTGAAATTTCCCTGTAGTCAGTGTGATCATGTTTTGAATGATGTCAAAAGTCTCAAGAGACATGTAGAAAGTAAACACGAGGGTTTAGAATATCCCTGCGAGGAATGTGATAGCGTTTTTAATGATATAAAAAACCTCAACAGACATGTAAAGAGTAAACACATGGGTGTAAAATATCCTTGTAATCATTGTTCGTACGAAGCAACGTTTCCGTCGAACCTGAAGACGCACATAGAAGCAAAGCACGGAGAAAATGAATACCCTTGTGATGAATGTGAATTTACAGGAACAACAAGCTTATACCTGAAGCGGCACAAACAAAGCCAGCACAGTTCGACCCATAAATGCAAAGACTCAGACTGTGATCATATTGCTGAAACATCTGGCGATTTAAGAAAGCACTTTGAAGAAAAACATTGTGCGTTTGAGGTAGAATGTGATATTTGTAATCACAAATTAAAATCTATGGAAGCCTTACGGAAGCACAAATCCAGTAAGCATGAAGGAAAAAGGTTCCCGTGTGAATATGATGATTGTAACAAGAACTACACATCAGCATCGCATCTAAAGGAGCACAAAGAAAGAATTCATCATGGGGTTAGATACCCATGTGATCAATGTGATTATGTTGCAAATAGAAAACAACAGTTAAGAGATCACGAGAAGCATAAACATGGACCTCAACATTATCCATGTGCCTATTGTGACTTTAATGCTAAGAAACGCTCTGATCTAGAAGAGCATATCTTCCTTAGGCATGAGGATAAGGTGAATTCATGTGATGATTGTGACTTCAAAACAGATGATGAAAGAAAGTTGAAGGAACATATTAGAGTTGAACATGATGAAGAAAGGTATCCTTGTGACCAGTGTGATCACAAAGCAAAACGGAAACAGCATCTACAACGACACAAGGATTCTAAACATGGAGAAGGAGAGAGACATCCCTGTTCTCATTGTGATTATTCGTCTGCTCGTAGTTCAGATTTGAAAAAGCACATTCAGAATATTCATGTTGGCGATGAGCATTGTTGCGACAAGTGTGAATACTCATTCAACAAAGTTGAATTGTTGAATCGACACATTAAGAGTAAGCATGAAGGAGTGAATTTCCCGTGTAATGATTGTAGCTATAGCACAACAATAGAATATAGCCTAGTGCGACACAAGAGGTTAAAACATCAAGATAACCCTAGCGTGGCAAAGAAGAGAAAGCTAGATGACAAGTAATTCGTGACACGACATTTCGACTGAAAAAAACTAGAAGATATTACAATTGGAAATAGGTTCAGCTAACTTTATGGACAATTTTTGAACCTGAACCTGAACCCGATCTTGCAAAGCAAGAACCTGAATCTGATCTTGTAAAGCAAGTACCTGGAGCCAGATCTTGTAAAGCAAGTACCTGAATCTGATCTTGTAAAGCAAGAACCTGAATCTGATGTTGTGAAACAAAAACCTGAAGATGAGTATGGTATGTATTCCTGCGGCCATGGAAAAGGAACCCATAATACCGAATCCAATACCTAATCCTTAATCTTGTAAAATACACAACTGAAGTTCTCTTAAAACATGTACCTTGTACCTTGTACCTGATAGTGTGATTTTTGTAAAAAAAATTGAATTTATGACTTATATGATCTGGAGCCTTTATTTTAAAATTAATTGATGAAACTGTGACGATCTTAATGAAGTTGAGCTACGTCTCTGAGCTATCACCGATTCAAAGTTAAAGCTTAAGAAAGTAGTTGAATCGTTGATTCAAATTTTAACCTGCAGTAAGCAGTTCATATTCATTAAATTCTGTCTCTTTATAAACATTCTAATTGTATTTTTAAAACAATTCGGCAATTTTTAAATGAATTTCTAGAAATAGTATATCTAGGTAATGATCGTTAAACTGTTAATTCCTCTTGTATGATCGAAAGTGCAAAAGAGAAGTTGTTTATCTATCGTTATATAAGGGAACTTCTTCTGGAGTGGGTACAAAATGTCGAACAACAAAATATAAAATCCTCAAAAATGTCGGAAAATACAAAGCGGTGCAAACTTAAAAATGTCAAATCATTAAAATACTTATGTCTCAAATTGTTTTTAAAAATCGCACATTTTTCATAATTTACAGAGACAAAACATGATTCAAAAAAATATGTGATTTTACATTCTTGATTAATGTATTTATAAAATTCATTAACTTCCCCGCCATGCTCCAAATAATTGAATTGAAAGGGTCCGAAATTGCGTGGTTTTTTTTAAGAAGAAAAAAACTTTTTTTGTGGAGCTCAACTTCGCTGAATTTTTACATTTCACAGTTAAGACGATTCGACATAGTGCAGTTTTACGATGTTTATTCCTTCATTTTGTGGCCTTCGTCATTTTGTCATGTGACGCGACGTTTTGTAGTTTTTACGTTTTGTACTCACTCCAGTCCTCCCGCTATTTATTAGATCCTACCACAGACCTAGTAGATAACATGTATAATTAAAAAAAATATGATTTATTTTAATACTGTAAACAATTCGAAATATTATTCTGAAAATAAGTTTTTTATTTAAGGTTTTAATTCGTCAACAAATGAGGCATTTATTTGTTCTCCTAATAATTAATTGTTTCAAACGTCACTTTTTCTAATCATACAAAAATTTTAATATTTAAATTCCGTCCACCAAGGAAAGATTTAAAGAAATTAAATATTTTCTATTTCAGAAATGATGTACTGACTGATATTGGGGTTAGAGGAAACTTCGAAGAAAATGCATACTTGTAATAAATAAAAAATGATCGTGACCACTCGTCCATTTTAGAATCACATCTTCAAAAGCACGACGAAATGGCGCAACGGGAGGTTGTGTACCCTTGCGGTAAATGTGATTATGTTGCAAAAAGAGGTTCCCGATTGAAAGAACATAATAAGCATAAACATGAAATTCGATATTATTCATGTGCGTACTGTAGTTTTACATCCGAGACAAACTCTGATCTAAAAACTCACAACTTTAAAGAACATAAGGATAAGATGTTTTCATGTGATGATTGTGATTTTTTATCGGAGAAAGAAATAAAGTTGAAGGAACACATTAAAGTTGAACATGATGAAGAAAGGCATCCTTGTGACCGGTGTAATTACGAAGCTAAAAGAAAACATCATCTACAACGTCACAAGGAGTCTGTTCACAGAGAAGGGGAGAAATATCCCTGTGGTCAATGTGATTATTCGTCTGCTCGTAGTTCAGATTTGAAAAGGCACATTGATAATATCCATGTCGGCGAGGAGCATTTTTGCGACAAGTGTGATTACTCATTCAACAAATATGAATTGTTGAATCGACACATTAAGAGTAAGCATGAGGGAGTGAATTTCCCGTGTAATGAATGTAGCTATAGCACAACAAAAGAATATAGCCTAGTGCGACACAAGAGGTTAAAACATCAAGAAAACCCTACCGTGGCAAGGAAGCAAAAGCTAGATGACAAGTAATTCGTGACACGACACTTCGATTGAAGAAACTAGAATATATTACAATTGGAAATAGGTTTAGCTGACTTTATGGAAACTATATTGAAATATCTTAAGAAATAATTACCTAAATCTGTACCTGTACATGCACCTTTACCTGCACCTGTACCTGTAACTGAATGTAAACCAAAGCCAAATCCGAACCTGAGCCTGAAACTGTATCTGTACCTGTACCTGTACCTGTACCTGAATGTAAACCCAAGCCAAATCCGAACCTGAGCTGAAACTGCACCTGTACCTGTACCTGTACCTGTACCTGTACCTGTACCTGTACCTGAATGTAAACCCGAAGCCAAATCCGAACCTTAGCCTGGAACTGCACCTGAATCTGAACCTGCACCTGATCATATAAAATATGAACCTGAACATGTTCTTACTAAATATGTCCATTGTACCTGATAGTATGAATTTTATATCAAAATTGTACATGAACCTAATCCTGAAAAGAATTACTACAATTGTGGTTCATCTAGGTTCTGTAGTTTAAATATTTCTCCCGTGGGGTCGAGAGTTCAGGAGAAGTAGTTCATCTATAATTGTATTCTGGAAAAAAATATAAAAACCCATGCTGTGCTCGGTTGCACCGTTTTGCCATGAACTGTGTTAGAATTTATTAGATCCTACCTCAGACGTGATGGAGATAGTGCAAACCACCTTGATTTATAATCACCACCATTCTCAATTTGTTATCACCGTAGAATCTTGTTTTCTGAAACTAATAATAAATCCCTTTTTAATACTGTACAGGACATCATTCAAGGTTTTATGTCGTGTTCAAAACTATATTTTCAATTTGTTTTTAATTTTGCTCAGTCAACAAAAACTGAAAATTAAGGAATAGCTTATTTGTGCTAAATCTTAGATCCCCGGTTCCAATGTAATGACTACATTACATGATTGATGTGAAATTATTAAAAGGTTGGTCTGCCTGTTTACTAAGGTTATCTCATCCCACATACAATCATTTATAGAAAACACTTTAAAAACGTTTAAATTTTTGTCAGTTTTAACTTGAGCTTAACATCTACAGTTGAAATGATCATTAATCACATGAATAGAAACTAGAGAAAATATTGAAAAATCAGTCTTATTCCACATAACATGGAAATTGAAGTAGTAAGATTGAGATATCAAATTTATTATATAATCTGACGCTTCATGTGGTGTATTTATGGACTTATTTTTAAAACTGATGACCAATAAAGAAAGCTTTAAAAATAGTGTGCACCAAAGGGAGAGGTCAATCATGTCTTATTTCCAAGAAACGCACACTATTTTTCCTTAGTTCAAACCGAGTTGGTGGCGATGTACAAGTTGAGGAGCGCGCATTCTTCAAATCGAGGTGGTTTGCACTCCCTCCTTACTCAAACCAAATAAATCGATTAAGAATTATGTATAAATGCCGACATTAATTTCAAATCGCAAGTTGTTCGTTAACATTTTTTAATACGCCAACTAATGAGGCAGTTGTTCTTCAAATAATTTATTTTTTTTAAACTTTACTATTTTTAATTTCTTAATAATGATAATATTTAATTATTTTTCCTTTTCAGAAATCAATGATGTACGTACTGATATTTATCCGAGGGGTGTAGAGTAAATATTGAAGAAAATACATCGTGTGATAAATACAAAATGGATGTGATTACTTGTTCATTTTAGAATCACATAAAGCACGAAGAAATGGCGCAAAGGGAGGTTATGTACCCTTGCGGTAAATGTGATTATGTTGCAAAAAGAGGTTCCAGATTGAAAGAACATAATAAGCATAAACATGAAACTCGACATTATTCATGTGCGTACTGTAGTTTTACATCAGAGACACCCTCTGATCTAAAAACTCACAATTATAGAGAACATGAAGATAAGATGTATTCTTGTGATTATTGTCACTTTTTAACGGAGAAAGAAAGAAAGTTGAAGGAACACATTAAAATGGAACATGATGAAGAGAGGTATCCGTGTGACCGGTGTGATTACGAGGCTAAAAGAAAACATCATCTTCAACGACACAAGGAGACTATTCACGGAGAAGGAGAGAAATATCCCTGTGGTCATTGTGATTACTCGTCTGCTCGGGATTCAGATTTGAAAAGGCACGTTCAGAATATTCATGTTGGCGAGGAGCATTGTTGCGACCAGTGTGAATACTCATTCAACAAAGTTGAACTGTTGAATCGACACATTAAGAGTAAGCATGAGGGAGTTAATTTCCAATGTGACGAATGCAGCTATAACACAACGAATGAAAGGAACTTGAAGCGACATCAAGGTAGCAGACATCAAGATAAACCTAGCATGGCCAAGAAAAAAAAACTAAAAGATCCTGAACCTGAACCTGATCTTGTAAAATATGAACCTGAAATTGTTCTTGTCCAATTTGAACCTGAACCTGATCTTCTGAAAAGTGAAACTGAACCTGATCATGTGAAATATGAACCTGAACCTGATCTTGTGAAATATGAACCTGAACCTGATCTTCTGAAATGTGAACCTGAACCTGATCATGTGAAATATGAACCTGAACCTGTTCTTCTGAAATGTGAACCTGACTTCTGAAATGTGAACCTGAACCTGATCATGTGAAATATGAACCTTATCTTCTGAAATGTGAACCTGAACCTGATCATGTGAAATATGAACCTTATCTTCTGAAATGTGAACCTGAACCTGATCTTGTGAAATATGAACCTGATACTGATCTGGTGAAATATGAACCTGAACCTGATCTTGTGAAATATTAACCTGATACTGATCTGGTGAAATATAAACCTGATACTGATCTTGTGAAATATGAACCTGAACCTGATCTGGTGAAATATGAACCTGAACCTTATCTGGTGAAATATGAACCTGAACCTGATCTGGTGAAATATGAACCTGAACCTGATCTGGTGAAATATGAATCTGAACCTGATCTGGTGAAATATGAACCTGAACCAGATCTTATAAAGCAAGAACCAGAAGATGAGGATGTGATCTACAAGAAAAGATTAGATGATACCCAATCCGAACCTCGTTCATTCTGGGAAATTCGAAATTGCAGTTTTTTCTCCTAAAAAAAGTTCATTGAACCTGATATATATATATATTTTTATATTTCATGAACGATCGGGTTTTTGCTCTTTAATAAATTAGCCAACTGCCCGCGTGGAGGTCGTAAATATATATTTGGAGAGACGTATTCATGCTAAATTGTAGAGTTTCGTATCTAAAAACTTATTTGGATGAATAAAGAACTATTTTTATAATTGTTAACACCCTCAAGCGGGTTTTCTTTGCCTTTTCTAATTAGATAATTGCGCTGTGTTAATTATAATGTCGTGTTTGGAACAAGCATTGATCTCTATTTTTTGCTTTATTGATATCAAGCATTCAAAAAAACCGAAACTTCGTACAAAAGTTCCAATCTATAAACATATTGATATTCGTTGGAAGTACGTAGGTTTAAAACAAACAAAATTGTAAAAGATTGATGGCAATTATATTTTGAAGTATTGGGGAAAAGATATTTATAACCATCCGGAGGCGTATTCAGGGGGGGGGCTATTGGGGCTAAGGCCCTCCCCTGGACCAGTGAAATCAATTGATTTCAGGGGGTTTTCATGCCCCAACGGGTGCTGAGCCCCCCCCGGAAAGAAAAAAAATTTAAGCCCCCCTGGACAAATTCCTGAATACGCCCCTGTAACCATCCCTCCGCACAATCCTCTGTTACTTACTCATTGTCTTAAAAACATTAATTGAAACTCTCACTTCCCTTGGATTCATTCCAAAAGGAGGTTTTATTTTGGTAATATGGTAGAAATGCCGCTTTTTTCTTTCAACTGGGCCGGCGCAAATTAAGTAACGATCAGAAGAAAAATCTAAAGATCTCTGGGCAGTTGGCTCAGTTCCAATATTGAGCATGCTTAATATGGGGATAAATTTTGAAATTGATTTCAGAGATATATATGTAAACTCGCCCGATTAACTGTCAATTAATTTCAGGTCTTTCTGATTATGACTGTATGTTAGTAGTAATACTTTTCTAGTAGTTCAACTAGCAGCACCTAGTTCAACTTATTCTCACTGTTCTTTAAATCCTTCCTCAGACTACTGTAAACCTCTTATTTTAGAAAATGAAAAATTTATCTTACCTTCCTATTCTCAATATTGTACATTGCCCCAGGGGGCTTGTAACCTGAGTGTTAAAAAATTCTTTTTATTTGCCACCAAGTAGGAGCATTGCTCTACTATTAATTATTTTTGATATCCGTCCACTTGAAGTTGAGTTATCAAATTTTTTTATTTCAGAAATAAATAAATAATGATAGCTATAGTGTAGTAGAAGAAATGAAGCGAAGACATCCCTGTGATAAATGTGAATATGTTGCGATAAAATCATCACATTTAAAGAAACACAAAGAAAGTAAACATGAAGGAGTAAGATATTCATGTGTTGAATGCTCATATGTCGGAAACTATCCGCTAAGTTTAAAACGACACATAGAAAATAAACACTTAGGTGTGAGTTATCCATGTGAACAATGTGATTTTATTTCAAGCACATCGGGTAACTTAAAGCAGCACAAAGAAAGAAAACATGATGGATTATTGTATCACTGTGATAAATGTGTATATTCTGCACCCGAATTATCTAAATTAAAGAGACACTGTGCTAGTAAACACGAAGGTTTGAGATACCCCTGTGATATCTGTGAACATTCTGCCACTACACCATTTAACTTGAAACAGCACAAACGAGTTACTCATGACGGGCTGAGGTATCCTTGTGATAGGTGTAAGCTTTCAGCGACAAGCTTGTCGGGTTTAAAAACACACAAGGAGAACAAACATGAAGGTAAAAGATATCCTTGTGAACAATGTGATTTTTTAGGAACGACCCTGTCTCACATAAAGAGACATATAAAAAGTAAACACGAGAAAGTGAAATATCCCTGTAGTGACTGTGATTATACTGCAACTATTAGTTCTAATCTTACAAGACATCGGAGAAGGATGCATATTGTTCTTCAACCAGATCTTGTAAAACAAGAACTTTTATCTGATCTTGTAATACTAGAACCTAATCCTGAACGTGTAAAACAAGAACCTGATCTTGGGAAACTAGAACCTGATCCTGATCTTGTAAAACAAGAACCTGAATCTGATATTGTAAAACAAGAACCTAATCCTGATCTTGTAAAACAAGAACCTGATCCTGATCTTGTGGAACAAGAACCTGAACCTGATCTTGTGAAACAAGAACTTGATCTTGTAAAACTGGAACCTAATCCTGAACTTGTAAAACAAGAACCTGATTCTGATCTTGTAAAACAAGAACTTGAACCTGATCTTGTAAAACAAGAACCTGAACCTGATCTTGTAAAGCAAGAACCTGAACCTGATTTTGTGAAACAAGAACTTGAACTTGATCTTGTAAAACAAGAACCTGAACTTGATCTTGTGAAACAAGAACCTGATCCTGATCTTGTGAAACAAGAACCTGAACTTGATCTTGTAAAACAAGAACCTGAACTTGATCTTGTATAACTAGAACCTAATCCTTAACTTTTAAAACAAGAACCTGAGCTTGATCTTGTAAAACTAGAACCTAAACTTGATCTTGTAAAACTAGAACCTTGTATTTAACTTTTAAAACAAGAACCTGAACTTGATCTTGTGAAACAAGAACCTGATCCTGATCTTGTGAAACAAGAACCTGAACTTGATCTTGTAAAACTAGAACCTTTTCCTTAACTTTTAAAACAAGAACCTGAACTTGATCTTGTAAAACAAGAACCTGAACCTGATCTTGTGAAACAAGAACCTGAACTTGATCTTGTGAAACTAGAACCTAATCCTGAACTTGTAAAACAAGAACCTAATCCTTAACTTGTAAAACAAGAACCTGGGGATGATCTTGTAAAATAAGAACCTGAACCTGATCTTGTGAAATATGAACTTGATCTAGATCTAGTCAAACAAGAATCTGAAAATAATTGATTACATCAAATGTTTCATTAATATTCAAATTAAGACAGGATTCTTTAATTTATTGATTGTTCAATTTTCTTGCAAATTTTCCAGTCATCCAAATCCAATCACCTTGTTTTGGAATTACTTGTATTTTAGTCAACTCTAAAGGGACTGTTAGCGTAATTTCAAGCGAACCTCCCTACAAAAATGAAACTACCAGATTTACCGTGGTACGCTTGAATCGTTAATCTGATCAATAATGTGGAAAATATTGTCGGTTTTCTAAGTTTAAAAGTGTTTAATTCTGATACACCTATGTTTTTGTGAGTATAAATGCGTAAGTCACTTTCGTAGAGAAGCTACAATTGAAAATAAACATTGATATCTAATTCATACTTGATCAGACAAAGCTTTTAAAGGTACCATTGTGAATCGTGTATTGCCATCTTTGTATGAAGGGTCACTTGAAAATACGTTTACAGTCCCTTTAATTAAAAGTAAATATGAAATTATTTTTCTTAAATGTTTCAGATTTACAAAGGCAAAGAAATCATGGATTTTGAATCCGTAATAATGGTTGAATAATTTGCAATTATCCAACTAAAGAATCAAGGTAATACTTTTTTTAAGGGTTTGTCGACCGGTAATAATGCTATTTATATATTTATAGTGGGATTTATTGTATTATTTATAGAAGGATTTATTGTATTATTTATAGAGGGATTTCTTGTATTATTTAAATAGAGATTTATTGTATTATTTATAGAAGGATTTATTGTATTATTTATAGAAGGATTTATTGCATTATTTATAGAGGGATTTCTTGTATTATTTATATGGGGATTTATTGTATTATTTATAAAAGGATTTATTGTATTATTTATAGAGGGTTTTCTTGTATTATTTATATAGGGATTTCTTGTATTATTTACAGAGGGATTTATTGTATTATTTAAAGAGAGATTTATTGTATTATTTATAGAGGGATTTATTGTATTATTAAAAGTGAGATTTATTGTATTATTTAAAGAGAGATTTATTGTATTATTTATAGAGGGATTTATTGTATTATTTATAGAGGGATTTATTGTATTATTTAAAGAGAGATTTATTGTATTATTTAAAGAGAGATTTATTGTGTGGAATTTTGAAAACCGCTTTTTGATCTTTCTGTACTAAATCCAAAAAAAGAGTGGATTTAGCAAGAAATTAAGCAGTATGGGATTAAAGGTATCCCATTCTAAAGTTCTCAGCTCTGAAGGGATAATTAAAACTAAGAGATTAAGCATTGATCCACAAATATAAAGTGACCATAGCAGATTTAAAAATACTCCGAGTTAGATTTTAGAAATTAATGTTTTTGTACCTGAGGCTTGAATTAACGAATCTTAAGATAGGGGGGTTGGGGTAAAATTTGAAAAACCTGAGGCTTGAATTAACGAATCTTGAGAAGCAGTTTTAATAGGTTTTCTACATACTGTAGTTGAGATCGGATAAAATAGTTAAACTATTGAGTTTGAGTATAGTTTCGAGTGGTGAGAAAAATGGAAACTCGAAGATTCAATACTTACTCTTAAATGTTTGAAATATGTTTTAGTAGCAGTGGAGTATTTTACGCTTCTTGTAGAACAATTAGATTTTAGCAGATAATAACATTTTCGAAAATAAAGAATTTTTCTCTTTTTCAGACACATTTGACGGGTTCTAACTCTATTGCAATTTAAAACAATCCTCTTTGGTAAATGTGCTGATATGGGAGAAAACTCATCTTGTGATGATTGGGAACATAGTGCCACAGATCCTTCTAATCTGAGACTACACCAACAAACTGAGGAAGAAGTTTTTCAATGCAGAAACTTCGATTACTTTTCACTGACTGAAGGGGCAGTAAAATTGCATCATTCTGAAGAACTCTACTCTTGTGAACAATGTGATTATACAACTACATATTGAGAGCACTCATACATAATAGGTTGCAATACTAATGCGACATTTGCGACCACTGTGCGTCTCATCCTAAAAGTATGAAAAGACATAAAGAAATTGTGCACGAAGGTCGAAAGTATCCCTGTAATCAATGTGAATTTTCATTCACTTCCTCGGGTGGGCTGAGAAGTCACAAAAAGAGTCTTCATGGGGAGAAAATTTACGCTTGTGATAAATGTGAGTACTCTGCAGCACAAAAATTTAGTCTAAAGAGACACAAAGAGAGCAGACATGAGAAAAGAAAGTATCCATGTAATCTGTGTAGTCATTTTGCTGCCCAAGTCTCGTGTTTGAAAAGGCACATGGACAGTAAACATTTTGGAGTGAGATACTCTTGTGATCAATGTGATCACAATGCTCGTCGACCTTACGAATTGAAGAAACACAAGGAAAGAGTGCACGAGAATACAGGGAGAGCCTTGTAGGCGAAGAATACACTTAATGGTAAATATGATTGTGATCAATGTGAATATTCTACCACTGATCCATTAAACTTAAGAAAGCACATTGAGTGTAAACATTTAGAAGTGAGATATTCTTGCGACGAATGTAATTTTACTGCGGTCAAAAGATATTTAGTAATAAAACACAAGAAGAAATATCACATCACCAAAACATCAGAGAGTTATGTTACTCTTGTTATTTGTGATACTATTGTTAAACTTGAATCTGAACTCGAGTCTCAAGATTGTGAAAAAGATATTTTCAAAGATGAAAACTTTGAAGAAGATCCTTTGGCTGGCTATTGATATTTAAAAGAGTTTATCCTAACTTTGCTTTTTAGTTTGTATTCAATAAACGTCAAAACGACTAAACCGATCCGGCCCTAATGTTGTGTGGGACTTACATGACCCGAGGGAAGGTTTATGGATGCTTAAAATTTGCAAAAAGTTGTCCCTAAAATTTTTAGATTTTCGTAAAATTTTGACAATCCACTAAAAAGAATTGTAAATCCGCAAAAAAAAAATACTATTGTTTTATCGAAGCGAAAATGCTTTTCATTTATTATCCGAATCCTTAAAATAAACGAATTTACGGAGAAATCTAAATTGAAAATAATGAATTTCCGTTAGTAAACTAAGGATGTCTTAATTGTTTTTAATCTTTTAAAATGTAGAATCACACGAAATATCGTTTGATATATAACTATAACTAGTTTTTAACTGAACTAATATTTTATTTATTTTTGTTTAACACATGATGTTTTTTCAGAGATAATGACTGAATTTTAGTTTTAGCTCAGATCAATCTAATCCCTGTTTCTATCAGGTAAAAAAACTTTTGATCAAACAACATCTTTGTTGATCTTCGCGGTATTCATTTCTAAATCCTGTTTTAAGATTAAGTATACTCAATGCAACAACTGCATGTTTCCCTGATTCTGGGGTTTCCAAAATGTAGTCGGTGTTCTAAACCGTCTAAATCGATTGAGATAGCATTTACTCATAAACATTGACACAGTCCCTTCAAGGTGACTATGCCCCGATCTACAACGGTACCCTTGAATCTGTATCTGATCAATAATGTGGAAGATATCGTCGTTTTTTAGACAAATTACTGTTGAACCCGCAAATTGAAAATATCGATTTTGTTAAAGAGAGTTTATGATGATCTTGTTCATTCTTGATCAAATAATGCTTCTAGGATTACAATTGTGAATCGAATATGCCACTTGTATAAATGAAGGGTCACTTGAAATTACGTCTACAGTAATTTTAAAGTAATCTTAAAGCAATTATACATATCTTATCTTAAAAGCTATTTGGGCTAAATTATTCTAACGTATTAGCTATTTTGCTAGCTATCATACGTAGAATCTGATAAAATACTGGATAGCTATTAAATTCACTTATTCGAACTTAACCTCTCAATAACTATATCACTAGCTTTACCACTAGCTATATCTTCGAGTTTTGTCAACCTAATTATTTTAAGGTGTTTTGACATATTACCATTAACGATTTTCGTTACTCCCATTATTCATATTTTCAGGTTGAACGCGCATTAATTGTAGTTAACGATGGAAAACACATATCCATGTGATCAATGTGACCATGTTGCATCATTATCATCAAATCTAAAGGAGCACAAGGACAGTGAGCATAATTACATGTTTTATCCGTGTAATCAATGTGAGTTTATAGCATCTTATGCGGCGCAATTAAAACGACATAAAGGGAGTAAACATAGAGGTATATACTCTTGTGATACGTGTGAGTTTTCTACAGCAACCCCTTCTAATTTAAGGAGACATATACGGAGCAAGCATGAAGGAGTGAGGTTTCCATGTAATCTATGCAATCAAACCTGTTCTGATTATTCAAACTTAAAAAGGCATAAAGAGATCAAGCATAACAGACCAGAAGTGTCGGCAGATAATTCAAAATTACCAACTGTTAAACAAGAAGAGGAAATTCCGATTGAGATTAAAATTGAGGAAGTAAGTCTTGCCTGTGATCAGTGTAAATACGTAGCTACGCGTATTTATGATTTAAGAAGACACAGGGAAGGCAAACACGAAGGAGTGCGATACCCTTGTGACGAATGCAAATACGCAGCAACTTGTAAATCAGATCTAAATCGACATATGAAGTCACAGCATCTTAAAGTCTCTACTAGCGCTAAGAAGCGTAAACTTACTCAGAAAAATAGCAAGAGAAAGAAAAAGGTCGACATCTCTAGAGAACTTGATCTTGTAAAAATTGAACCTGGGGAAGAGCATCTGACCTGTGAACCTGACCTCGTGGAATCTGAACTTGAACCTGATCTTGTGATAGCTGAACCTTTGTCTGATCTTGTGAAAATTGAACCTGAACCTGATCTTGTGATAGCTGAACCTTTGTCTGATCTTGTGAAAATTGAACCTGAACCTGATCTTGCGGAATGTAATTTTGAAAGTGATTCTTTGGCCGCCCTTTAAACCTTTGCTTGAGTAAAAATGATGGAGTTAACTTTGCTTTCCTATCAAAAAATTGATTTTGTTTAATTGCGGTTTTTATGATGACTTTCGGATTACCGATTAATACAGCAGAAGATATGATCAAAATTCAATACTTTTTAGGAAAAACGCGATATCTTCCTCATTGTTACTAGAGAAAGGTGAAAAGGGTACCGTTGTGAATCGGGCATTTAACTTTTTAAATTTAGGGTTACTTGTAATTTTGCCGACAGTCCCTTTAAGAACATTAATTTGGATCTTGTAAATCATTAACCAGAGCTAAAACTTTAGACTGGGATACCTGTAATCCCGACTGCTTAATCCGAATATCCAATGTGGACACTTTTATTTCTTGCTTAATCCACTCTTTTTTGGATATAATACAGAAAAATCAAAACCCAAATTTTTAAAAGTAGAGAGCCCCTCCCATTTCTGTATATTAATCTTAAAGGGAGTGACCGGCAAGGTATAGTGGTTGAACTGAGTATGCAGTTTTGTGGACAAATATTTTAGGATCCACGGCAATGTATAGTGGTTGAACTGAGTATGCAGTTTTGTGGACAAATATTTTAGGATCCACGGCAATGTATAGTGGTTGAACTGAGTATGCAGTTTTGTGGACAAATATTTTAGGATCCATTTGAGACATGTAAAACGTTTTAATTATATATCTATACAACTAATTACTGAGTTTGAGCGAAAAGCCGATTATCAAAATCATCCATTTGGGTAGTACAGATAAATCAATACCAGGATGTGAATGTGTACACTGGCATTCTAAGAATACACTCTGTTTTACAGCTAGTGAATTAAAAAAAAACTAATATGTGGTAAAATTTCTTTGAGATAATTGTAAAATTTTATGAAATCTTTAATCTTTAATCACAGAATAAATATTTAGATCTTAAAAAGTGTCTGTAATCCCTCATTGTTGACAAACATTGTCTGCAGATTTTGGAATTTTTACTGTAAAAACGACATTTGAAGAATTTGTCGAAATCTGCAAACATCAGTGTAAAGAATGAGAAATTCAGTATAATGATGAAAAAGAAATAGTTGATTCTAACATAGATTTATTGACAAATTTCTTTTAAGAAATATATTCCTAAACATCTAATTAGTTTACTGTAGAATTTTTAAAACATTTTTCATGGTCGTTAATTAATAATTTTTTTTTTAAATGGATGATTATGAACGTCGACTTTAAGCTCAGTCATTACACATCATTAAAACGTTTTATCTGTCAAAAATGAATCCTAAAAAATTTCTCCACAATACTACATTCTCAGCTCAACTACCATACATTGCCGGTCACTCCCTTTACCCAACAATTATCTTAAAACTTTTCCTTCCTTAATGGAATATTTTTATTTTGACTCTAGACAAATGTTTTAAGTAAATATTTCTTCTCCAGATGATATGTGTTTATTAACTCAAACAAAAAATGTTTCCACTGTTTGCTGATGTATGGTTCTTCTTCTGAATTATATAAAACAGGTAAAAATAATTCAGTTTCGCTTTCCTGTTCATGAGCACATTGTTTACATTTCTCATTATCTTGATTTTATTATTTTATCTACATTTCTGAATATCTTGATTATATAATTATGTCTACATCTCTGAATATCTTGATTATATTATTATGTCTACATTTCTGAATATCTTGATAACAATATTATACCTACAATTCTGAATATCTTGATTACATTATTATGTACCTACATTTCTGAATATCTTGATTATATTATTATGCCTGCATTTCTGTATATCTTGATAACAATATTATACCTACAATTCTGAATATCTTGATTACAATATACCTACATTTCTGAATATCTTAATTACCATATACCTGCATTTCTGAATATTGATTACAATATTATTATACCTACATTTCTGAATATCTTGATGACAATATTGTGCCTACATATCTGAATATCTTGATTACAATATAACTACATTTCTGAATATCTTAATTAAAATATATCTACATTTCTGAATATCTTGATTACAATATACCTAGATTTCTGAATACTTAATTACTATATACCTACATTTCTGAATACTTAATTACCATATACCTACATTTCTGAATATCTTAATTACCATATACCTACACACAAAGGTCAAACATGAAGGAGTTCGATATCCCTGTGATTTATGTGATTATTCAGCGACTGAACCTTCAAAATTAAAGAGTCACATAGAAAACAAGCATAATGGAGTAACCTACCCCTGTGACCAGTGTGAATACGCAGCAACCCGTTTCAGTAACTTAAAACAACACAAGCAGAGTAAGCATGAGGGGTCAAGTTATCCCTGTGATCAATGTGAATATATTGCCACTGTTCCCTCGCATTTAAAGAGACACTCAAAGAGTAAACATGTTGGAGTTAGATTTCCATGTGAGAAATGTGGGTTTTCTGCAGCTAACTTGTCTTCATTAAAAAGACACATAGCTGGTAAACACACAGACCCCTCCTGCGTCATTCTTGAGAAGAAAACTATTTCTAATCAACCAACTTTGTCAAATACACTGAGTAATGGAAGGTATCCCTGTGATAAATGTAAATATTCTGCAACTTCAAAATCCCATCTAAAGAAACACAAAGAAAGCCAGCACGAAGGTTTGCGGTATCCATGTAATCAATGTGAATATTCTGCCACTACAACTTCACATCTGAAGAGACACGAAAAGAGTTTCCACAGCGGAGTTATTTATCACTGTAATTATTGTGAATATTTTGCTTCTTCTTTATTGTATTTAAGAGGACACAAGAGAAGCAAACATGTTGGTTTAGACGATGGTCAAGTATCTCAAGAGATTTTTTGAAAAAAAAGTTTTTCTGTGGATGAAAAAGCCACATATTTGTTATCGGAGATAAGAATGCTGGACATGGAGAGAGTTGGGGAGGGTTGGAGACGTAGCGTGAGGCATTGAGATGATTTTGATTGACTAAGAGGTCATTCTGCGAATCGGGAGGCACTGCAGGTCAGTTAGCGGGGCTCATGGTTGCTCTGCACCCAGTCCCTCACTAGACTAGACTGTCAATTCTGATTTTCTAAATTTCTAAGTAAGTATTTACAATAATTTCCATAGAAATGATCAATTTACTTACAGGGTTACCCAAAAAGAATGAGACTTCAGAGACGATTGTATGGAATATACACGGTATACTTATATATGATTCCCTGCAACTGTAAACTTATTTTTTCCCTTTCCAAATCATTTAATTAGCCTTCAAGGCTATATTGAGGGCAGAAAACTTATTTTAACCTTTAAATCGTCAAAAATTAGGTCGTCTTTAAAGTCTCATCCCTTGTAACTAACCCTGTACGTAATAAATTTTGTTTCTTAAATTCTAATTTTTTTGATTTTTTTCCAATCTTTAATTTTTAACATTTTTTTAAGAACTCTGCACTTTAAAGAAAACACATCTTTAAATAAATTTAATGACCTCCAGAGTCCCCTGATACGCAGAGTTGTTGACAGATAACAGCAACACACTAGACAAATGAGGATAATAGGCCAGTTAGGATTCTGGTGGGGGATGTTTATTTTCCCCGGACAATTCTTTCCCTGTAGGCCGCACAAATACACACAGCAGAGTAACCCCGTCTCAGAAAATCGATAACAAAATCTTTATTTCCTAAAAAATAACATAAATTATAGGTCATGGTTACTTGTACAATGTTATCATGAATATTAATAGTAGAAAAAATCTTACGAATTATTAAGGTGTGATCGGGGGAGACTTATTGTTGATCAGACGACATTTTGCAGAGGTCTTAAAATTAATGGTTAACACTGGCCCCAGGCAGGGTTTGAGGATGTTATGGTAACATACGAGAATGAAAACATAACCATTAATTTGTTTACAGCATTTAGTTGAATGAGTGATAGGTACTAGATTGATTGATTGAAATATACAGAAGTATTATTACAATGTACATAAATTAATACTGTATTAAATAATCAAATGGTTGAAGAGATTAAACAGTGAAGTAAAATTGAGATCGAGTTGCACATTTTCCTGTGCTTATTTGATAAAGTAACTTAAGGAATAGTCAAAGAAAAGATAAATTAGTATGTAAATTGAGAATGGATTCCGAATATAAATTAAAATGAAATGATTTGAATGAAGGGTTTAAAGAAATTAGAAAAGATCATTTGTTTCGCTACTTAGCGATTTCCCTAAAGACCTAATATATATACCGTGNGATTCAGAAAGCTGAGTTTGTGTGTTTAAAAGATTAAAAAATGTAGTTTTTTTTTTAAATGTAGTCCTGTGTTTGATCTTGGTTGGAGTTCTAGTTTGAGCTTAGAATGCAATTCAGTTGCTCAGTTTTGGTGTGATCTGCGTGGAACTCATCCTGAGCAGGCTCTGGTCTGGAACTAGGAGCTGGAGCTAGATTCCTCGCTTCTGTGGAGTCCGAGGTGAGGCTGGGGATCAGGCTCGATGGGTCGGGCCGGCTTGGCGAGAGGGTCAGGTTCAATCGGATGAGCTGGATTGGTCGAAGGGTTGGGATTGGTTGGGGGATCAGGTTCGAGTGGGTTGGTTGGAACCCCTGACTGGACAGAGGGTCTGGTTCAATAGGAGGGTTAGGATAGGTTGGGGAAACCAGTGGATTTGAGGAACCTGGTTTAGTAGGAGTTTGACAGATCATGCATCCTGGTAGTTTGCAGGGAGTGTTTCTTTTACATCTTTGAATTTCATGATGAGGGGTTTCAGGAGGTTGACCATTAGAGGTATCTTCATGGAGAGGAGTAGCTGAATTCATCTCGAAAGTGAGAGTATCCTCGTGTAGAGGAGTAGTTGGGTTCATCTCGAAGGTGAGAGTATCCTCGTGAAGAGGAGTAGTTGGGTTCATCTCGAAAGTGAGAGTATCCTCGTGAAGAGGAGTAGTTGGGTTCATCTCGAAAGTGAGAGTATCCTCGTGTAGAGGAGTAGTTGGGTTCATCTCGAAAGTGAGAGTATCCTCATGTAGAGGAGTAGTTGGGTTCATCCCGAAGGTGAGAGTATCCTCATGTAGAGGAGAAGTTGGGTTGATCTCGAAAGTGAGAGTATCCTCGTGAAGAGGAGTAGTTGGGTTCATCTCAAAAGTGAGAGTATCCTCATGTAGAGGAGAAGTTGGGTTGATCTCGCGTGAGAGTATCCTCGTGAAGAGGAGTAGTTGGGTTCATCTCGAAAGTGAGAGTATCCTCATGTAGAGGAGTAGTTGGGTTCATCTCGAAAGTGAGAGTATCCTCATGTAGAGGAGTAGTTGGTTTAGAAGGTTTGAAACTAGCACGAGGTTGGTGGCTGTGCTGAAAGGGGGAGGGGGGTACATGTAGTTTGAANATTTCAAGTTAAAGACGACATTACATGGATGGGGGGGTCTTGTAGTTAATGGTTGACAAGTATACATGTACATACACACAGACTTGTCAACCTGCAACAATAGGTCTCCGTGTAATGTCGTCGTTAACTTAAGTCCCCTCTCGGAGACACCAAACCAAACAATTTTAACCCCCTTTTCTTTGTTCTTCCTGACGGAGTCATAAGCAACCTCGCGTATTGTGAATCCATTTCAAAAGTTAAACTAAGAATATTTTCATATAAAGAATTAGTGACTTTCGTTTATAATTAATTGTCATTTTATTTCAGAAGTTTAAAAACGTCTTTTAGTACTGTTCAACAATTGTTAACCCCTTTATCATCCGCTATTAGATCGTAAGATTTTTTTCATTATAAACATTCATTATAACATTTGTAGATGTTATCAATATATGTTATTTTTTTCAGGAAATAAAGAGAATTTTTTGTTATCGATTTTTTGAGACGGGCGTTTACTCTGTTGTGTGTCTGCTGTTATAATCGGAAAATATTGTTGGGAAATATACCTACTTCAACGACTGATTCCAGTGGGGATATTATCATTTCATCTTGAGAATTCGGTTTCTATCCGTCAACAAGACTTTATAATCGGCAAAACGTGACAAATTATGAGATTGATGTGAGCTTTCTTCAAACTCAGATTTTCTGATCCATTCCTATATTGTTTTAACCCAATGTCGCAGACCTTAGATAATTAAAACTAATTCTGTGAGCTCAAGATAATCTATGTATAAAATATGAAAGGTTTACACCATCAGATTTCAAAGATATGGGGATTCAAAAATTTGAGTTTGTGACAACGACTCAATTCCTTTAGCAATAAAGTTTGGAAAAAGTAAATATAATTAAAACTTATATTACTGAAAAAAAAATATTCAAAGGAAAGAACGCAATTAATATTGTACTAATCTGTACTGATTCTAAACAGATGCAAAGTTTAGAATTTTCTAGTCTGTACAGTGTGTTCCAATAAACATGGGAATTGAGTTGCGTGCAAAGATATCGTCGTTGTAAATTATTTAGTATGATATATGATTAACATTATATTATTATTATATATGATTAACGGTGCCAGCCGTTGACATGTCGTTATCGATTTTTATATATAAAGAGTTAAAACAGTTGAAGACAACCTTCAAAAAACATCAAAACAATGAAAAACGTTGAAATAAATAAATTTATTAAAGTTGTTCCTCTTTTCTGTTTATCTTGCAGAAATGTTACAGACACATCATATTATAGAGGACGTGAGGTAGATCTCTAATGAAACGCATAATGAAACTTCCAGTATATATATTTCTTATAACTTATTGCTAGCGGGTTCAGAACATGAGTCTATATCAATATCACACGTGTTAGACTGAAAGTACAATGCCCCGTATCCGTTCTATCTCATTCCGGTGAATCTTGTGGAACTTGTTTTAGGCGGCCAGGCATCGTCTTCCACAATATAACGTTTTCCAGAATAACGTAACAGCCTTATACAAATTTTAAAAACTTAAATGCTAGCAAACGAATAATTTGTCCCAGGTAAATTCTTGAATTTTCCAGTTTCTAGAATGAAGCAATATTTAAAAGTTACGCGGGTAAAAAAATGTTTTTGAAAAAAAAATAATTGACAAATCTAAAATATGGAATTAAGGTTGAATTTTTCACAATTTAAAAACGCAATCTTTACTTAACTGTTATTGTTATTAAATTAATTGAGTACAAAAATATACATCAGAGTAAACATAACTGGATTAAATTACTTATTTAGGTCTTTCTTATCTTTTAGGACTTTCAATTTCAAGTTTGATTTATATAAGTCAAGAGAGGCTTTCAATCAAAACCTTCTCTTTGAATTCTTTTATTTCGAAAAAAGCTTGTAAACAATCAAAACTTAAATAAAAAAGTCGTCTTCATTATATTGATATAATCACCTACCACTGTGGTTCTAGATTCACGACTTAAAAAGTCGAATTTATGCTAATCTTAGGTCAACTTTTCTAGGGTAGTTTTAAATCTGGCGAAATTTTGTAGAATAATTTTATCCTAGTTTTAGCCTAGTTTCAAGATCTTGAATAAATGTCGAGATTTGGTAAGTGGGCTGATTTCAAGAAGTCCACCTCAGAAGGTGAAAAGTCGAGTTTTGTTTGCTGGGATTTAGTTTAATATAATACCAAATAATAGATATTTATTTATTTATAAATCTGAAAAGATTGGAGATATGGGTTGGCTGCATATAATTGGAGCATATAAAGGGAGTGTTCGCGAAAAAGGAATGGGCGCATAAGCTCATGTCGGATTGAACTCGATATTTATTGCTACTAATTTTACTTCTATCTGTTGCGTATAAAATAAGAAAATGGTTTAAAACGTCTTAAATTGCATTATGATTATTTTATTATTTTATATACTAAATTATTATTATTTTATTATTTTATACAATAAATTATTATTATTTTATTATTTTATACAATAAATTATTATTATTTTATTATTTTATACAATAAATTATTATTATTTTATTATTTTATACAATAAATTATTATTATTTTATTATTTTATACAATAAATTATTATTATTTTATTATTTTATACAATAAATTATTATTATTTTATTATTTTATACAATAAATTTTTCGCAAACACTTCCTTAAAAGACTAGATTGGGACTAATTTTCTCTATTTACATGTTTTAGTACACCTCTATTTACATGTTTTACTACACCTCTATTTACATGTTTTAGTATACCTTTATTTACATGTTTAAGTACACCTCTATTTACATGTTTTAGTACACCTCTATTTACATGTTGAAGTACACCTCTGTTTACATGTTTTAGTACACCTCTATTTACATGTTTTAGTACACCTCAGTCCAACCATATGTTGCAAGATCCGAACCGGTTGCAAGGATTCACAAGTCTAGTGTGCATGTACTCTTGTTTACAGTTTTTTTTTTAAATTTTAGATAAAAACTTAAAATAAAGGTGAAATTGTGAGGCTTTTTTTTTTGATGAAAATGCTCAATCCATCATGCACCAGTTCTCAAGTTTTCATGGTTACAATTTTTAAAAAATTGAGACAATAATTTTCATAATCTTTAAATCCATCCAGATTTATGCTTTTTTTGTAAAGATAAATATATATGAAAGCGGAAAAAGCGTTAAATAATTAACTATTTGTCTTGAAGCCCTACAACTCCTCTGAAACAAAACATTAGCAAAAAATCGGTTTTTGGAAAATAGTAAGACTATCTTTTGCCTTAAATCTGAATTTTTTTGAAAAATCTCAAAACGGACAAATGGTCAGTTCAGTGGTTTAAGCTAGACGCATATTTTTAAAACACATATTACAAGTTTCAATATTTTCTTGTAAATCGACATCCCTCCATACTAATTTTTGTTCTTATTTTTTCTTTAATGATTGGTTCTAGTTTGTTTCTGAATAAATATTGCTGGTGCGAAAAGGATTTAACTTTTTCTATGAAATAGTTTCATCATTTCTCTAGTTAAATAAAAAGTTCTGTGGTTATTTTGATATTTTCCCATTTTAATTCTTTCCAAAAAGATCTTCTCTTAAAATTGCGCATTATATGTACAAACTAATCCTTAACTTAGAACTTTAAATAAGATTCAAAACTTGATACGTTTTACTACATGCTTCAACAAAATTATAGATTTCAGATTTAGATATTTTTTCTTTTAGAAAGAAAACTACTTTACAGGGAAGAAAACTGCTTTAAAGGGAAGAAAATTACTTCACAGGGAAGAAAACTACTTAACAGGAAAGAAAACTACTTTACAGGGAAGAAAACTACTTTACAGGGAAGAAAACTACTTTACAGGGAAGAAAAAACTTTACAGGGAAGAAAACTACTTTAAAGGGAAGAAAAGTGAATTTACGTTACCAAGATAAATTTTGCTTTTTTTGAAACAATATTCCTAGTACTAGCATTTCCAAAATGTGGTATGCCTATTTTGTGTTGTCAATATTAACCGGAGTAATTACGAATTTAGTTCAGATTTCAATAACATTAAAAAAAATTGTCGATATCTCCAATGATTTTAAAGGCAAAATAAAGACAGACCACATTTTGGAAATGCCGAGACTATGACGGTTTTCGAATAAATGCCTTAAATTATTTCAACGATTACAGAAGACCTTCAATTAGTCTGTCATATTTCGAGGGATACCCTGTTGGTTAAACTTCTATACTAACACCGTTGAAACCAATAACCCCTAATTCCAGATTAGAAGCCTAGTTTTAAACCTGAACCCAAAGTTTTGACAAGAGCGAATGTAATTTCTGCAGTTAATCTCGTTTCATTAAACTCCAAGATCAAGTAATTCAGATTTCGAAGTTCTCTGTGCGGAATTCATTTCTTAATCTTTTCTTGTCAAATGAAGGTGTTTTAGTCATGATCCTAGGTCTTCAATAAGTTCTTTAGATTATCATACGACAGCGTCTATATATATACTTTGCTTGTCTGTCTGATTTTTTGTTTGTATCTAATAAATGTCAAAACGGCTGAACCGATAGGGCCCAAATTTTGTGTAGGACCTCACGTGGTCCCAGGGAAGTTTTATGAATTCTCCAAATTTTAATAATTTGTGTTTAAAAGTTTTTTTTTTAATTAATTAAATTAATAAATCAATGAATAAATATATAAACAAATAAATAAAGAAATGAACAAATGACCAAATAAATAAATGAGCAAATAAATTAATGAAAAATGTACAAATGAGCAAACGAAGAAATGAATGACAGAAAGGATAAATAAATTAATGTATTATTAAAATTAATGAAATAATAAATGAATGAAAGAAAGGATGAATAAATGAACAAATAAATAAAATTAATAAATGAATAAATGAATTAAAGAAAGAATTGATATGTGAATAAATGATTAATGAATAAATGAATGAAAGTAATGACCAATAAACTTGAAAATTGAATAATGAATGAATAAATGAATGAGAGAAAGATTATTAAATGAATAAACGAATAAATGAAGAAATATATGAATGGAAGGATGAATATAAATGAATGAATAAATAAATGATCCAGGAATTGTCTGGTGTCTGGTTGTCTGGTCTATATAGTCTAGAGGATCTGATGTTAATGGATAATGAGATTACAAGGGTTCAGGAGGAAATCTTTATCACAAACAAGAACATTACCAGGTTAAACTTGGCAGGTAATCAAGGTCGTCTTCAAAGATCCCAATTCAATTATTTTGCTAAACAAATGGGACTTTGTTTGGCGCTGGGATTTTAAATAATTCCTGTTTGTTTGAGAGTTTATTTGAAAACAAAAAGTGATAATAAAAGGTAAGTTTTGACCCAAATAATAAGTTAAATGGCTTCAATTCAAATTTATTAATAAAGAAAATGAAGATACTTAAAATTTATTTTGGAATTCCTAAACTACCTTGGCCGTTGTAGCTAGTTAGTTTTATATTTTCAAACCAGATATTTTTAGAAACAATAAGATATTTTCTCTATTCTTTACAATTTTAAAATGTCGTCTTCTATAGAATTTTATTTGTTGAAATCAGGAAATCCTCTAAACTGTGACTGTGAGATGAGCTACCTTGTCTCGTGGCTCCAGGACCATGATGAGCTGAAAGGGGACGTGGAGTCCATCAAGTGTGCTACTCCCTCACATCTTGCCAATGCACCTCTGGTCCTTATAACAGAGCGCCTAGGAACATCAAATAAACCTAGCTTATTTTAATTCTTGATTTTACAAATTTAATATCTGCGATAATTTTATCATTTTACAAAATTCTCTTTTTTACACACATTTGAAATAAAGCCTTTAATAGTTACTAACATAGATAAATAAATAAACATAGATAGCTTATGTACGCAAAATCAATGATTATTGTACAGTCCGCGAACTTATACTTCTAGAGGTCAAAGTATACCTCAATGATAAGCGGGGTGGTTTGGTGTTTTATTGGATTTCATAATTATTAAACCACTCAGGAGTGAATTTTATTTTACTCAGCAATATATCATATTGACGAGAACTGAAGAAGGACATGAGAAGGACTAAACTAACTTAAATTTCTCTCTACAGAGCTCATGTACACCACAAGTACTCAATGACATAAGAACAGCCAATATTCACAACCGACCTAGTTAATCTATACAATAGGAATATCTTTAAAACATCGCTATACATATACATCTTTCAAGATGAAAAATGTCGTCTTATGCGCAATCTATCTTTATCTATGGTTACTATAGACTTCAAAAAAAGGATTTGGATTTTAAAATAAGTTTCTCTGTCAAACTCTTTCAAACCCCCATTTTGCTCAAATTCGAAAAGCTCTTCTAGGACTGCAGTTTCTAAATTTTCATAATTTGTTTTAAGTTTTGTTAAAACAGTTTTATTTGATTTTTAAATCTGCAGAATGCAGTAACAGTACTGAAACTGAATATTACGAGTATTATTCTGAACCTGGTTCTCTGCCGGCAATTTCAAGCTCTCTAGTGCACTTAGTTCATACACAGTACAATCCAGACACAGGTACATACACAGTACAATCCAGATACAGGTACATACCCAGTACAATCCAGACACAGGTACATACACAGTACAATCCAGACACAGGTACATACACAGTACAATCCAGACACAGGTACATACCCAGTACTATCCAGACACAAGTACATACCCAGTACAATCCAGACACAGGTACATACCCAGTACAATCCAGACACAGGCACATATAAAGTACAATCTAGACACAGGTACATATACAGTACAATCCATACGCAGGTACATACACAGTACAATCCAGACACAGGTACATACACAGGACAATCCAGACACAGGTACATACACAGTACAATCCAGACATAGGTACATACACAGTACAATCCAGACACAGCTACATACCCACTACAATCCAGACACAGCTACGTACACTGTACAATCGAGGGACAGGTCCAGTACACTTGAATATAGTACAAAACTCCAGTACACTTAAATCTAGTACACAGGTTCATTAAACATTTTATCCAGTACACAGGTCCAGTACACTTTAATATGGTACACATGTTCAGTAGACTTTAATATGGTACACAAGTTCAGTACACTTTAATTCAATACACAGCTTCAGTAAACCTTATTCTTTATGTTTATTTTTTATTTTTCATTTTACATTTTTTTTAATTGTTTGGTTTCTTATTCTAGATGAGTTGGATCTATCCTGGGATATAAAAGAAGTAAGCCGACCCTTTAGTTGTGGGCAGATCCATATTTTCCAGGTACAGGGGGAATCATATATAACAAGCTCAAGTACAGGGTGATTCATATATATCAAGCTCAAGTACAAGGTGATTCATATATATAACAAGCTCAAGTACAGGGGGATTCATATATAACAAGCTCAAGTACAGGGGGATTCATATATAACAAGCTCAAGTACAAGGTGATTCATATATAACAAGCTCAAGTTTACAGGGTGATTCATATATAACAAGCTCAAGTACAGGGTGATTCATATATAACAAGCTCAAGTACAGGGGGATTCATATATAACAAGCTCAAGTACAGGTGGATTCATATATAACAAGCTCAAGTACATTGGGGATTCATATATAACAAGCTCAAGTACAGGGTGATTCATATATATCAAGCTCAAGTACAGGGGGATTCATATATAACAAGCTCAAGTACAGGGTGATTCATATATAACAAGCTCAGGTACAGGGTGATTCATATATAGCAAGCTAAAGTACAGGGGGATTCATAAATAACAAGCTCAAGCACAGGGTGATTCATATATAACAACCTCAAGTACAGGGTGATTCATATATAACAAGCTCAAGTACAGGGGATTCATAAATAACAAGCTCAAGTACAGGGTGATTCATAGATAACAAGCTCAAGTACAGGGGGATTCATATATAACAAGCTTAAGTACAAGGTGATTCATATATAACAAGTTCAAGTACAGGGTGATTCATATATAACAAGCTCAAGTACAGGGGGATTCATATATAACAAGCTCAAGTACAGGCTGTGATTCATATATAACAAGCTCAAGTGCAGGGGGATTCATATATAACAAGCTCAAGTACAGGGTGATTCATATATAACAAGCTCAAGTACAGGGTGATTCATATATAACAAGCTCAAGTACAGGCCGTGATTCATATATAACAAGCTCAAGTGCAAGGCGTTACTCGTTGAATAAAAAAAAGAATTTAAAAAACCCGACTTTTTTTTAAAAACAATCGATTTGTTAATTATAGTCTATGTTACCCATGTGCTCCCTCAAAAAATGTCAGCCAATTTTTTCCAGTTATTTTGTCAGCTTTGGCTAACATATATACAAATATATATATGAGCTTTAAGCTTTATTGTCCGTGGAATTTTGAAGAAAAAAAATAAAGATTTTTGAAAAATAAACTTGAATTTTGTCTTGCATATGTTACCCTCGGGGTAACCATGAATTCTCCTAAAAATAGTCAGCCAATTTGAATGGGCCGTTTGGCCAACTATAGCGAACATATATTCAGACATACATATATATATAAGCTGTATTATAATAGAGCTTTATTTTTCAAGTTATCAGGGGAAACTTTTTGGTAACCGGCAAAGAAGTTCTCTGAAAAAAATTTTTCGAAAATAAAGTCCTAAATTTTGGCACTGAAAAAGCCCTGCGGAAATAAATTCCTAGAGATAAAAATCTCTGGAAATTAAGTCCTCCAATTTTGATACTTTATTTTCTAGGACTTTTTTGTATACAAAAATGTTCCGAGAAAAAAGTCCTTTTAAAACGGAAAATGCATGAGAACAAAGGATGTTTATAATTATGGAAATAAGAGACTTGACATTAAACGCCCCTGGATATATTAAATATGCAGATGCAAAAAAAAAATCCTTTTTATGAAAACATCTAGGAATTGACCTCATATTCCAAAGACTTAGGACTTTTTTTCTTCAGGACTTTAATTCCTGTGATTATATTTCCCGAGACTTTATTTTCGGAAAAAAGTCCCAGAAAGTTGAAACTAAGGACTTTATTTCCAAAGACATTTTGTCCTAGGACTTCCGAAAATTGGGACTTTTTTAACCAAAGTTTTTTTTTCCAGAAACAATTTTTCCTGTCTTACATAGATTCAACTTTTTCTATTTATTTTGACAATGTTTCTAGGATATAGAGTCTGGTGTTGATCTTGTATCAGAGTCATCTCTACTCTGTGAACATCAGGAATACTAAACATTTTTTATTTATAATAAAGGGCCTGAGTCAGACCAAAGAATTAGAATAATAATTGTAAAGATAGTTATTTCAGAGGTGTGGCATTTTTAGTACTGCAGTGTACTGTCTCTGAGCGGTAAAGTAAACACAAGACGGATGTCACAGCCTGACATGGGATCCATTTTCACATAAAAAATCAATGAAATATTCTGGTCATAGTAAACTTTTATTTGAATTATCAAAATTTTCAACATTAAATGCTTTAATCCTCCTCGGATACTAGAAGAACTCTGATGCATCTATTCTTGTTTACAAACACCGCCCAGAAAGAACTGGTTTAAATATTTACGCAGAGAATACACAACAGCAATTAACTTGCCTTACCTATTACCTTGATACACACCAAGGAGAATTGAATACAAGGAGGGGGCAATAGGGTTTCCGTACACTTTGCTGTGACGTATTTGCACTGCTGGAGAACTAGTTTTTGCGTAACAACAATAATAAAAGCAGCCGATCTAATGTAAACAAACATGAGTTAGTACACAGTGAATCTTCATCTAACGCTAGAGATGCACCAATGTATGTTTATCATTTGTGTTATTGTTTACAATCTTTTATTATTGTTATTACGCAAAAACTTGTTCTCCAGCAGTCCAAGTACGTCACAGCAAAGTGTACGGAAACCCTATTGTCCCCTCCTTGTATTCAATTCTCCTTGATGCACACTATAAAGCTGAAAATTGTTCAACCTCTGTACCATCATGAACTCTTCTTACAGAAAGGTCAATGAATACGTTTTACTTCTCGGGGTCAATTTGTAGAAAACAAATTTTAACTGATCAGTATCTTGTCATTCCGAATTGTATAAATTACTGGTTCTCTCTATACAAAAAAACACCCCAAACATTTGTTCGCAACATAAACAATACTTGCCGCAACTCATGTTATTCAATAAGCTATATATAGACGTAGCTAAGTACAGAGCTTAATTCATATTTTCAATTTCAGCTGAATCACTCCGGTATGGTGAGGAAGACATGGGGAATTAATTTATCTAGGCTTTAAACCTTTGTCTGTGCAAAAACAACGTAAATATTGTTGATTTCCATCTGAAAACATCTTAGATATTGTTGATTTCCATCTGAAGACATCGTAGATATTGTTGATTTCCATCTGAAAACATCTTTGATATTGTTGATTTTCATCTGAAAACATCGTAGATATTGTTGATTTCCTCCTGAAAACATCGTAGATGTTGTTGATTTCCATCTAAAAACAACGCAGATATTGTTGATTTCCATCTGAAAACAACGTAGATATTGTTGATTTTCATCTGAAAACATCGTAGATATTGTTGATTTCCTCCTGAAAACATCGTAGATGTTGTTGATTTCCATCTAAAAACAACGCAGATATTGTTGATTTCCATCTGAAAACAACGTAGATATTGTTGATTTTCATCTGAAAACATCGTAGATATTGTTGATTTCCATCTGAAAACAACGTAGATATTGTTGATTTCCGCCTGAAAACAACGTAGATATTGTTGATTTCCATCTGAAAACAACGTAGATATTGTTGATTTCCACCTGAAAACAACGTAGATATTGTTGATTTCAATCTGAAAACAACGTAGACTAGATATTGTTGATTTCAATCTGAAAAAGTGTTTATGATGACACATTCTCACTTTTAAAGAAAGCCATAATCGGAAATAACCTTTTCCAAGATAAATGGTATAAGGTAGGATAATGAGGGATATACCACTCAATAATTGTAGGTTCACTTTGAGCTTTCTTGTTAACGATTTACAGTTCTAACATTGAAACCTTTCTCTAAATATTGATAAAAATACGAGAAAAAGAAATATAGAGTAAACAAGTAAGAAAACAGCAGAGATTTGATCACTTCCATCCAGCAAAGAGACAATGATATCAACGCAAATATTGATCTTTAATCATATTTTTAGTTGACAATTCGAAAGTCATTTAAGTTTATATAATTTTCAGTTTTAACCGTTTCTTTATTTTAAAATTTAAATGTTAAAGTTATGTTAGTTCATAATAAAACAAAAAAGAATTTACGGTTTGAAATTATCTAAGGTCTACGAAATTGGGTTGCAAAGATTTATGGATAAAAAATTAGAGTTTGTAGCTGAAGCTTAATTCCTTTTAGAAAGGTATAAGAATAAATTAAAAGACTTGTTAAAAAAACTATAAAAATGTTGATTATTATTCAGGAGATATTGAACACTGAGACTCTAAACACTTCAATCAACATTCAGGAATTATATATTGTCGTTCAAATATCACTAAACATCTAGTTGGATAGATACTTTTCCATTTCAGACCTAGAAGTGCAGTTAGAAAATTTGGTCAGAACTATTTTAAACCTTCTGGTAGGTTCAGATTTTTTTTAGTGCGTGTTCAATTTTAGCGCGGCCATTTTTGCAAAATAAAGTCACAAGACCAAAAAAATGTTTTCAAATTTGTCAATAAGGGGGACAAAAGATCCGTCTTAAAACACTGAATTCAGAAAAGTTGATTTCAAATGGATTTGTTAATCATTAAACCAATTAAAGAATAAATGGGTTTTTATTGAAAATAAGGCAGAGTCCCATAACAAAATATCAAAAAACTAAAATGTGGGTAGTATTCAGCGGCTTGAAACGCATCTGTTGATACCCATATCGATATATTTTGAAAACATTTTGTTTGGTCCTACCAGTGACCTTTTTTGGCGAAAATGGCTGTGGGAAAATTGTACGCGCGCTAAAAAAAACCGAACCTTTGAAATAGTTGTGACCAACTTTGTCAACTGCCCCTCAAGCTTGGTTCCAAAATCGACCAACCCTAATATACAGTGGTATTCACAGTTGCAGTAATATCTTGTGATATTTAACTCTTTTATAATTGTTCTTAAATTATTTTCACAAATAAAATGCCGCAAACTCCTTCTAAGAACAGAGGAGGAAGAATCCCAGTTTAGGGAAATTATTTCAACATGTTTATTTCTGATAAACAGATTGAATTTATATAATAACGAATACAGGATTTAGAGTTAGATACAGATACTCCTTATATTATCTGTATCTCGGTCCTTCATCAGGAGACAGTTGTACCAGGTAAGGATATTAGGATACATCTTTGTCAGTTTAGGATATTAGGATACAGTTGTGTCAGGTTAGGAAATAAGTATACAGCTGTACCAGGTTAGTATATTAGGATACAGTTGTACCAGGTTAGGATATTTGTAATATTGTTGTACCAGGTTAGGATATTTATGATACAGTAGTACCAGGTTAGGATATAGGATACAGTTGTACCAGGTTAGGATATAGGATACAGGTGTACCAGGTTATGGTATAGAATACAGTTGTACCAGGTTAGGATATAGGATGCAGTTGTACCAGGTTAGGATATAGGCTGCAGTTGTATCAGGTTGGGATATCAGGATACAGGTGTACCAGGTTATGGTATAGAAAACAGTTGTACCAGGTTAGGATATCAGGATACAGGTGTACCAGGTTAGGGTATAGAATACAGTTGTATCAGGTTGGGATATCAGGATACAGGTGTACCAGGTTAAGGTATAGAATACAGTTGTACCAGGTTAGGATATAGGATACAGTTGTACCAGGTTAGGATATAGGATGCAGTTGTACCAGGTTAGAATATTAGGATACAGTTGTACCAGGTTAGGATATTAGGATACAGGTGTACCAGGTTATGGTATAGAATACAGTTGTACCAGGTTAGGATATAGGATGCAGTTGTATCACGTTGGGATATCAGGATACAGGTGTACCAGGTTATGGTATAGAAAACAGTTGTACCAGGTTAGGATATCAGGATACAGGTGTACCAGGTTATGGTATAGAATACAGTTGTATCAGGTTGGGATATCAGGGTACAGGTGTACCAGGAATTATGGTATAGAATACAGTTGTACCAGGTTAGGATATCAGGATACAGGTGTGTACCAGGTTATGATATAGAATACAGTTGTACCAGGTTAGGATATCAGGATACAGGTGTTCCAGGTTATGATATAGAACACAGTTGTACCAGGTTAGGATAAAGGATACAGTTGTACCAGGTTGGGATATCAGGATACAGGTGTACCAGGTTATGGTATAGAATACAGTTTTACCAGGTTGGGATATAGGATACAGGTGTACGAGGTTATGATATAGAATACAGTTTTACCAGATTGGGATATAGGATACAGTTGTACCAGGTTAGGATTTAGGATACAGTTGCACCAGGTTAGGATATAGGATACAGTTGTACCAGGTTAGAATATTAGGATACAGTTGCACCAGGTTAGAATATTAGGTTACATTTCTGTCATTTTAGGATGATCTAACATCTTGTTATATGATCCCAACATCATGATTTGTTTTTCCAATATCATGTTAAATGTCCTAAGTTTAATATTTGAGCCAAACATCTTGTTACTAAATTCAAATATGAAAATATTCTGATATTTCAACTTGATCAAACAAATAATTAATATTTTACATTGCAGGTTGTTCTGGATCCTTGACAATATCTCACCATGTCGAGGATAAAAAGACGACCTCTAACCTGGACTCTGACCTCGTATTCCATCCTCTAGTAACACCAACGTCTTCTTTAAGGTAGAGGTTAATTTTTTACTGTTGATGTCATTTGGAGGACGCGTTTAAATCTAAAGTAACTATCAAAGAACATGATTTCATCGTGGTTTCATTGTAAAATGTTGACACATAGAAACTATTTGTGTTTCATCATTGGACTAGTTTGAACATACTTCAGAGGATTCAATTTCTTTTAGAAGAGGAGGTTACGGTTTTCGGTCTTTTAGCTAGGGTTTATTTGGTCAAAAGTCTGCTTACATTTTTCTGACCGGAAAAAAGAAAAATTAATTAGGAATTTTTGTTATTAGTCTTTGAATATCCTAAAATGTATGGTAAATAATATCGATATATATTTTGGGCTTGTCTGGGGTTCTGTTGTTTTAATGGTATATATCTTTATATACTTTTTTGTCTGTTTGTTTGTTTGTATCCAATAAACGTCAAAAGAGCTGAAACGATCAGGCCCAATTTTTTGGGTGGAACCTCACATGACCCCAGGGAAGGTTTATATGTGGACAGAATTTAAAATAATGAAAATTTAAAAAAAATGGTTTTTCAATTGAGAAAATGTCGCAGATAAAGCAACAATTTAAAATAAAAAACGTTAAAACAAATCTGACGGAAAAGTTTTGGTTATTTGCAGAATCTTGTAATGATCAGTAATTTAATTTAATCATTTGTTTGTAGGATGAATGCAAATCTTAGTGAAGAGAATTCTATAATTGTATACCTGGATACTAAACTACAGGAGCATACTTCTACAGCATGCAGTATCCTTACAACAGTCAGGTATACCTGGATACTAAACTACTGAAGCATACTTATATAGCATTGTTGTATAAGTAAATCCTTTATCAGTTATATGGTTTAGGTAGGTACCATTCTGCCACTCTGGAGATACACTTCAAATTATATTTCCAGCTCATTTTATAATTGTACTGTTCTGAACAAAACTGGTTTATTTTTACATTATTTATTAAGAACTTGTTTTTTTAATATTTAAAGTTTATTAATTTGAATTTAAGATGTGTTTGTTTTAGCTAGAACAGATTTTTTTTCAGAATTCCCAGATAAAGGAAAGATATGAATTTAAAGACGTAAATCGTCGAATACGTAAATCCTGAAAAACGCAAATAGGTCTTGTACAAAATAAACATTATCTAACTGATGACCAATCCTTAAAAAGAGTTAAGATAGAAATAAAAACTTGTTATCCTTAAAAATAAAATAATCTGTTTAAGAGATTAATATTGTAAAATATTTAAATAGATTATTACCTATTCACGGATAAATTTAATCATATTATTTAGCTTTTCGTTTCTTGAGTAGTTGTTTTCTTTTGATTCTCTGTTCCAAGAAATTTGAAGAATAGTGTACACTGTACACAAAATAATATTCCTTGTTTCTCCATCTTTCCTGAACCAACAAAAAAAAAAATATTTGTGTTTCCGGTTAGATGAAGCCTTCATAACTGGACCGAGCGCTGCGGACCGAAAATGATAGTAGGCCGAGCTATCCTAGAAAAATTGTCATAAGTTTGTCATAGCGCGTAAGCTATGTAAAATAGTCATACGTGGGGAAAAAATATTAAATCCATAAACATGAATTATATTCCAAACAGAAACTGTTGAATAATCCTCCTATTTAGTACACACGGAGAACAGCAACTATTGAATAATCCTTCTGTTTAGTACACATGGAGAACAGGAACTATTGAATAATCCTCCTGTTTAGTACACATGGAGAACAGGAACTATTGAATAATCCTCCTGTATAGTACACATTGAGAATAGGAACTATTAAATAAGCCTCCTGTTTAGTACACATGGAGAACAGGAACTATTGAATAATCCTCCTGTTTAGTACACATGGAGAACAGGAAATATTGAATAATTCTCCTGTTTAGTACACCTGGAGAACAGGAGATAGACCATCATGTTGTGGACTGTTCAGCTCAACAGGATATCTTCAAAAATGTTCCTGTTCGATCAGTTTACAGGGTGTGTTCGGTTCTAAAGGTATAAAACGGAAAATAGATTTGTATACAGTGAAACCTTTACGAATACATCGGAAGAATTTATGAAATGTCGTCTTTACAATTTTTCAATTAGTTTTATACTATATTACGTAAATTTCAGTATTTGCGAAAATAAATAAATAGCCATGAATATGCGGGAACAGTTTTAAAGAGTTCCATGTAATCATTTAATTAAAAAACTAAATATCTGCAGCATGCCATTATCAGAAAGTGAAGAATACGACATTTGATGAATTCTTTCGATGTATTCGTTATTAAGGGTTTCAATGTATTCCATTGCGATTTTTTTAATCTCTCTTTCAAAAATGATAAGTTTATCGTCGAACATCCATACTTAATGTGCAGAAATTTGAATTCAACCTTTAGAGTAATATCTTTTACCAGTTTCATCATTAAAATCTCAGCCTAGCTTAGTCTTTCATAAGTAGAAAACCTCAAAAAAGACCTTACCAGCTCGTGCAGGAGTATTGCATAGCATGCTTTTCTATATCAAGTTTAAATTCTGGCTCTATCCTTGAGCATTTTCTCTATTCCTACAATTTTAAACAATAACAAAAAATTCATATTTTTGCGTGAATTTTCACAATTTTACAAAAATAATTTTTGCAGACAAATTTTTGCAATTCTGAGCATCAATAAACCTACCCTATAAGGGTCATGTGAGACCCAAAAAAAATGTTGAGGCTGATCGGTTCAGTTGTTTGACATTTTTTCGGACACACATGCAAAGAGACTAAGTATAGTAAAGTATATGTAAAGAAGGCAACTTTAAAAGTATTTTATTTCCCCAATATTAAGGTTGGCGAGGAAACTGAAACTGAGATAAAAGAAGGAATTAATTCAAGAGAATGTGTTCTAATTTCTCCAACAAGGAATATTTTTAAACCAAAATATTAAAAAGTAGCAAAGGAATTGAGTCTTTGCCAAAAAACTTTGATGTTCTAATCATTATATCTATGCAACGCAATGTCGTAGACATTAGATATTTCAAACTATGAATAATGTTAGATCTAACAATTAGAATTTGATTTATTAAGAGTTTACATCGTCAGGTTGCAAAGATATAATAGCGAAGAGCTTTAAAGACTTATCTGAAATATTTATAAAACTGTTTGAATATATTAACTGGGTCTAGGATACTATACAGGGATAAATCTATTCTTCCACTTCTATTAACCCTCGTCTTCCTTGCTCTAGGTAAATACTAAATTTTTTAGATATTTTTTTAACAATTTATTTTTTTTGAATTTTTAATCTTATAAATTGGATACTGTTGAAATAAACAAATTATGATTTGATTCTTCTTCTTGTCGTTTCTATCTTCTTTCTTTTTTTTTCCTTCTGTTAACTGTTCCTGATTCTGATAATTTTGGAAGAAAATAAAAATCTGATTGTAGTTGTAGTAATTTTCAGTTTTATTGTCTAACTCAAGAATGCCTGACTTGACAAGCTGATTGAAGGTTAATGCAATGCTGATTCAGCTTCAACCCATACTTCTAATATATTTTCTGAAATGGAAGTGGTGAAATGGGGGTGGCAATGTCTCCAGCCCTATCTCAAATTTTTTGATATAATTCGAATATGGTACTTTCAATGTCACCATATTTTTGCGGATTTTCTAGTTTTGAAATTTGTAAAACTTCTCAACACTTTTTGAAACCCTTTAAAAGTCCAAAAACCTTCAAAGAACAAAGCTAGAAAATAATTCATTGTAAAGTAGACAGAAGGAGAAGGTCAAATTCAAGCGACATTACTGGTACGACCTTGTGACCTCGTAGCTTCTTTAATTATGATTTTACGCAGAAAAGTATGAGAAATGAAAATTTAGCCGTTTACTTATTAGAAATTCAAATCATTGAAATCATGTAAGATTTTAATTTTACTTTAGTTTGACGTGCAATTTACTTAAGTTTGACGTAAATTTTACTTCAGTTTAACGTAAATTTACTTTAGTTTGACGTGAATTTTACTTTAGTTTGGCGTATATTACTGGCTCCGATTTGTCACCTTCGAGAAAAAATTCTTTTAGCGAACATTGTTTTCGCGAAATTTCGTGAAAAATGATTTCGCAAAAAAATCCACGAAAACCAATTAAATGCGCAAAACTTGTGGACTGAGAACTCAGAAATAAAAGTTTTATCATAAATTTTTTCGCGAAACACATTAAAGCGAAATTTCGTGAAAAATGCGAAATTTTCGCGGAAAGATTTACCCTTGTCGCGTTAAACCATACCTGCAAAGTTGTATCGTTTTATACATGATACAGGATGCGGGATACAGGATACATGATGTATGATACGAGATACAGGATAAAGGACACATTATATAGGATACGGGATACAGGATACATGATATAGGATACGGGATACAGGATACGTGATATAGGATACGGGATACAGGATACGTTATATAGGATATGGGATACAGGATACATAGTATAGGATATGGGATACAAGATACTTGATACACATTTCTACAGGATACAACCACATTTATCTGATTACACATTAAAAATTCGAAATAGTTTTGTTCTTATGAAGATTTCTCCAACAAGAGGTTACGTGACATTACTTTATTTTGACGTGACGAATCTACCAAATTAAAAAATAATGAAATATTTTTACAATTTAATTAAATTGTTTACGTTTTTTAGGCATTGCTTGTTTAACTGTACTCTACCTAATATTAAAACGAGCTCGAGAAGACAGAAGATCTGAAGGAACAAATGGATACAACAGATTTTATTTTAATTCATTTTCCTGGACTTTCTTTCTTCAGGCAAAATCTTATTACAAATCTGTAATTTCTAAATTTCCAATTAATCCATTTTGAAATCAGGTTTCAGAAGTTCCCCTCATCCTCCTTTAAAACTAATATTTTGCTGTCGAAAGATTGCAGACAAACTTAGCAGACGAGATTACAGTCAACATACCTTCCTTCAGCAAGCAGATCAGTGGACATAGACATCTTTTCCTACAGCAGGCAGATCAGTGGACATAGACATCTTTTCCTACAGCAGGCAGATCAGTGGACATAGACATCTTTTCCTACAGCAGGCAGATCAGTGGTCATAGACATCTTTTCCTACAGCAGGCAGATAAGGGGTCATAGACATCTCTTCCAATAGTAGGCAGATCTTATCAGTGGTAGCATAACATATGCCTTTTATAGAGAGAAATGTCGTCTTCTAAACTCTACTCGTGAAAGTGTTCGTCATCTCTGGATGAGGCGTGCATAGCTATGGACCTTGAAGGTTCTCATTTAATTTATATTCTTTCTGTATTCGGACAAAACTGCTAATTTTTTAAAAAGAAATTGCATTATGCCTTTTCAGGGTTATATTACAGGGTGTCTTACAATTTTAGTCATTAAAAAAAGGTTTTATTTGTCCATAACACTATGTGCTGGTATAAAACATAATAATAAAATCAAGAATCTCTAAAAAATGTATTTTGCTATTTTTATCATTAATATTAGATGATGCAGTTTTTGAACTATTATGGTAAAGGTAAATCCTTTGTTTCTGTAAAAAAATGAATTGTCTTTAATTTACTAAATTTACATTTTTGGATTTTGTCTGCAGAGAAATAACTTATGTTTAACAAAGATATGTCAATTATGAACTCGAAATAGGTTTAATGTGAAGAAATTGATTCTTTGCTACAAACTCAAATCTTCTAATCCCTATATCTTTGCAATCTGATGCTTTAAACCATTTAGATTTGAAACTTAAATTATTTGATCTATAAACAGAGTCCACTCCAAATTCAATGAATTAGAGCCGCGAATCAAATGGTAAATTTAATTTAAGGTGAACCAACCATATTTAAGCCGCGGCTCAAATTCTTTAAATTCGGCCTAAGAATTCATAGTTTGAAATATCTAGTGTTCACGACATTGGGTTTCAAAGATTTAGGGATTAGAAGATCAGTGTTTATGGCAAAGACTTAATTCCTTTAAAAAAATCTAAATCGTAAATTAAAAAGAAATTAGAAAGGTTCAGATACTTTCAATATTATCACATTTTAGATATTTATCTTCCTATAATTAAACATTTTAAATAGTATTTGATATATTTTGTTTTCGTTTCAAAATTCTAAATTTCTTTTACATTTGGCCGCAATGCTCGGTTTCTAAATTATGTTCTTAACGCAGCCCTTGATTCTGGAATTGTAAGTTTTAACAGAGTTCACTGGAATCAAATTTAGTTTTTAGTATTGCAAGTGATAACATGTAATTATAAAATATTATTTAGAGTAAAAAGTCAGTATAATTATATGAAATATAACTGTATTAAAAGTATCTGAGCCGCAGTGACGCGGAAGAAAATTGTCAAAATCTGTCAAATAATTTCAAATATATGTTTTAATGTAATACTACTCAATGCAATATAGTAACAACTCATTTAAAATCTTTATAAAAAAGTTTTATAAAAAAGCAGTTTTGCCAAATCTTTTATTCTTTGTAAAGATTAAATTTAAAACCCAAAATAAATTTACAATCCTCACGAGGTAGAATTTATTTCTAAACAAAGGCATTATCAAGTCTAAACATTTAGTTTTTTTGCAGATTTATTGCCAATAAAATATTTATAAATGAAAAAACAGTTTATAATACAATATAAATTCAATGTTTTAACTATCTTGATGCTATATAGGGATAAAACATTATAATAATTTTATACTATTTAGAAAATAACTTATATGCAATGTGTTAAAAATGAATTTATGAAATTAATTATTTTATTTCCCCTCAATGAAACATGATATATGATGAAATATATGTTAAAAATAATGTATTTATTTATCTATACTGGCTTAAAAAGCAAACGTTTAGGTTATTTTGACTTGAACTTGTGTAAACAAATTTAGTTTGTTTTAATACCTCCCCCAATCCTCCCTTTTCCTCTTTCAACCTTTCTTTCTCCTCTTTCCACCTTTCTTTCTCCTCTTTCCACCTTTCTATCTTTTCTTTCCACCTTTCTTTCTCCTCTTTCCTCCTTTCTTTCTCCTCTTTCCACCTTTCTTTCTCTTCTTTCCACCTTTCTTTCTCCTTTTTCCTCCTTTCTTTCTCCTCTTTCAACCTTTCTTTCTCCTCTTTCCACCTTTCTTTTTCCTTTTTCCTCCTTTCTTTTTCCTCTTTCCATCTTTCTTTCTTCTCTTTCCACCTTTCTTTCTCTTCTTTCCAACTTTCTTTCTCCTCTTTCCTCCTTTCTTTCTCCTCTTTCAACCTTTCTTTCTCCTCTTTCCACCTTTCTTTTTCCTTTTTCCTCCTTTCTTTCTCCTCTTTCCATCTTTCTTTCTCTTCTTTCCACCTTTTTTTTCTTCTTTCCACCTTTCTTTCTCCTCTTTCCTCCTTTCTTTCTCTTCTTTCCACCTTTCTTTCTCCTCTTTCCACCTTTCTTTCTCTTCTTTCCACCTTTCTTTCTCCTCTTTTCTCCTTTCTTTCTCTTCTTTCCACCTTTCTTTCTCCTCTTTCCACCTTTCTTTCTCTTCTTTCCACCTTTCTTTCTCCTCTTTCCTCCTTTCTTTCTCTTCTTTCCACCTTTCTTTCTTTTCTTTCCACCTTTCTTTCTCTTCTTTCCACCTTTCGTTCTCCTCTTTCCACCTTTCTTTCTCTTCTTTTCACCTTTCTTTCTCTTCTTTCCACCTTTCTTTCTCTTCTTTCCACCTTTCTTTCTCATCTTTCTTTTCCCCCTTCTTCTGTATAAACCTCTGAGTATGGCAAAACACATAATCATTATCATCATTACAGTGTATGTGTATACCAAGGAGTATGAAATACAATGAAGGAGGGGTAGACCCCCGGTCCGCCTCGACATATTGTTTTACATGCTAAACAGACAGTACTACATTTCGAAAAGAGATTTGTAAAAGTTCGTCTTTTTGTGGATTTTAGTATATCAAACTAAAATAAACAGGATTTTTAATAGTACAAAATTACCTCGGTGTTGGAATTCCAGAAAATGTCTTTCTCTTGCATTTTATTCCATACTCCTTGGTGTATACCCAATGATTTATATGTTCAGCAGAAATTATCTTCTTAAATCTACTCTAGAGAGTTTGAGGGAGTCGTCAATACACAAATTAAAAGTATATCCTACATGTTACTGTCCTTGGTTAAGCACGATGTACTGTGTGCTGTGTATAGCGTATATTTTGACCCTAAAAGTGCTGATGCAATGATGATTTATACAAACCGTTGGTTTTTTCAGTTACATCAAGAACATTGAACTAACACCATACATTACTTACTTGCAAAATATTTCAGAAGTGATAATTTGGAAATAAATTCGCAAAATACTTTTCTTAATCTGGTGTCAAAAAGTTTAAATCTTTCACATGTTATATATATCTACTTACTTGAAGAATGGAGTTTATACTAATTAGAAATGGGGGGGAAAGTTAATTGCAGTTGCGTATACTCTGCGTACATATTGAAACCAACTCTCTCTGGGCGGAATTTGTTAACAAGAATAGATGCATCAGTGTTTGTTTAGTATCCAAGGTGAAGCATACAATTTAGATAATTCACATAATAGTTTCCTCTGACCAGAATATTTCATTGATTTTTTATGTGAAAGATGGATCCCATGTCAGGCTTATGTTTACATTACCGCCCAGAGACAGTACACTGCAGTACAAAAGATGCATACACCTCTGAAATAACTTTCCTTGCATTATAACCTTGATTAAGCTTGTCATTATCCTAGGATAAGATTACTAAAATGAATAGATCAATGCAAGACAAACGAAGGTTTTATTAGGAGGGACTTTTAGAAGAGGGAAGCCAGCAGTTTGTGAAGAGAGGGTTGTGGGGTGTGTGTAGTGGGGGGGGGGAGAGAGATGCTGATTTTAATTATTTATTGGATGTATAATTGAATTATACAAACCCTCTCTGTATACATTTACCACTCTTTGTTTATGACTCATTACTTCAAAAAGCCAATGAAAACTTAAAGGAGGAACATTGCAGAAACTAACAAAATATGGCCAAGGAACAGTACAATGATTTTCAAATATAGCCAATGAACACTTGAAGGAGGAAAACTACAAATAATTTCCAAATATAGCCAATAAACACTTGAAGAAGGAAAACTACAATAATTTCCAAATATAGACAATGAACAGTTGAAGGAATAAAACTACAATAATTTCCAAATATTGCCAATGACCACTTGAAGGAGGAACACTACAATAATGTTCAAATATAGCCAATGAACACTTGAAGGAGGAAAACTCCAATAATTTCCAAATATAACCAATGAACACTTGAAGGAGGAAAACTACAATAATTTCCAAATATAGCCAATGAACACTTGAAGGATGAAAACTACAATAATTTACAAATATAGCCAATGAACACATGAAGGAGGAACACTACAATAATGTTCAAATATAGCCAATGAACACTTGAAAGGAAAACTACAATAATTTCCAAATATAGCCAATGAACACTTGAAGAAGGAAAACTACAATAACTTCCAAATATAGCCAATGAACACTTGAAGAAGGAAAACTACAATAATTTCCAAATATAGCCAATGAACACTCGAAGGAGGAAAACTACAGTAATTTCCAAATATAGACAATGAACACTTGAAGGAGGAAAACTACAATAATTTCCAAATATAGCCAATGAACACTTGAAGGAGGAAAACTACAGTCATTTCCAAATATAGACAATGAACACTTGAAGGAGGAAAACTACAGTAATTTCCAAAAATAGACAATGAACACTTGAAGGAGGAAAACTACAATAATTTCCAAATATAGCCAATGAACACTTGATGGAGGAAAACTACAATAATTTCCAAATATAGCCAATGNCTGTTTTTCAACGGACCCTTCAATTTGGGAGGGGGGATGCAGGGATGGTGAATAGATATTTTCCAGGGGGATGATAGTTCTCTACCTGCAGTGCTGAGTTAGCTGTACTGTATACTTACAACTGTTTACTAATATTGATATACTGTAGGTTAGGCCAGAATCAACTTATAATAAACAAATATGCAGTACGCTCTCAGTAAAGATTTATGGCCTATAAAATTAGTAAAGGATCAGCGTAC